TGTTACACAGCAATAGATAACCAGAGCACATCTCCTAACATAGAGAGAAAATTTTACCATAAAATCTTATACCTAATACCTTAATAGCATTTGAAAGTTATTACTTCCCTGATTCATTTTTATATGCTGCCTATTTTTTCTTTTAAAAATCTTTTATACCCATATAATTTTGTAGTCTTTTTAATTTTAATATTATAAGCATGTTCCCATGTTGCTATATAACCTTGGTTTAATAATAGGGTCATAATATGAGGAGATTTTGAATATTTTTATTGAGATATGATTCACATTCCATAAAATTCATCCTTTTAAAGTGTATAATTTAACAGTTTTTAGCACGTTCATAATGTAGTGCAACCATTATCACTATCTCATTTAAGACATTTTTGTCAGCCCAAAAAGAAACCCTGTACCCATCAGCATTCAGTCCCCATTCCTATTTCCCATCCTCACTCTTCAGCCCTTGACAACCACGAATCTAGTGATCTATTTTATGTCTCTATGGATTTTCTTATTCTGGGTATTTTACATCAATGGAACTATGCAACATGTGGCCTTTGTGTCTGATTTCTTTCACTTAAAATAACATTTTCAAGGTTCTTCCATGTTGTAGCATGTATCGGTAATTTATTTTTATAGCGAAATAATATCCCATTGTATGAATATACCATATTTTGTTTATTCATTCATCAGTTGATGGATATTTGTGTTGTTTCCACTTTGGCTATTATGTATAATGTTCCGTAAACATCTACAAGTTTTTGTGTGGACGTGTATTTTCAGTGCTCTTGGGAATATACCCAGGAATGGAACAGTTGCATCATATGGTAAATTTATGTTCAACTTTTTGAGGAACTATCAAACTCTTTTCCAAAGTGGCTGTATTATTTTATATTCCCACCAGCAATATGTGAGAGATCCAATTTCTCCAAATCCTCACTAACACTTGTTCTTGTCTATCTGTTTACAACCATCCTAGTAGGTATGAAGTGGTATTTCATTGTGGTTTTTATTTGTATTTCCCTAATGACTAATGACATGAAGTATCTTTTTCTGTGCTTATTTAGCCATTTATATATCTTATTTGGAGAAATGTCTATATGAATCTTTTACCCACTTTTAAATTGGGCAACATATTCGTGTTTTTATTGTTGATTTTATATTCTGGAACCTCTTTATATATTCTGGACACAAGTCCCTTATCAGATTTACAAATCTGTGATTTATACAAACATCTTCTTCCATTCTGTAGGTTGTCTTTTTCACTTTCTTGATAGTGTTCTTTGAAGCACGAAAGTCTTTAATTTTTGTGAAGTCCAATTTATCTATTTTGTCTTTGGTTGCTTAAACTTTCGGTGCCATATCTAAGAAACCATTGCCTAATCCAAGTCACAAAAATTTACCCCAATGTTTTCTTCTAAGAATTTTATAGTTGTAGCTCAGATATTTAGGTCTTTCATCTATTCTGAGCTAATTTTTATCTATAATGCGAGGATGACTTTGAATCTTGCCGGTTAAGTGGTGATAGGATAGAGAGTCTTTCTTATCAAACTAAAGATGAAGAAATGAGTAGAGGAGGAAGAGTGAGACATATGCTCTGGAAAGCAATTAATTCATTGTGGCCAGGGCCTAACGCATGCAGAGAGTATGTTGGAATTTACAACCAATAATAGCAACTACATCAAAGGATGGTGAGGAGCTGGAGCCTTATTTCCCCGCATTCTTCACTGGCCAGTCCCCAGCCTCACTAAGCAAAGACAAATAAATGTAAGCAAAATACAGTGTACTAACTACAAACTTAGCTTCGGAAAAGCCTCCAATCTTCCCCATTTCCCCTCCCAACCAGATTGCTTCTCCTTAACCCCTCCAGTGTAGAAATTCTAGAGCATCTATTGCTGGAAACATTCAATGGAAAGGAGTTGTTTTTTTTTTTTTTCTGTAGACTACTGGAAGTCACTCATGGTTCTTAAGCAGGAAAGCAACATGCGATTTGGGTTTTAGGAAGCTGTGGTAGTGAAACGTATCACAATTCTTAACTTTTTTCTAGCACATAAATTGCATAATACACTATGGGCTACCACATTGATCAGCTGCATTTATGCATATTTTCTAGTGTGGTGCAGGAAACCATGAATTACAAAACACAAAGTAGAATCAACAAGATTGGTGATTGATTGGGTGTAGATAGATAAGGATTCCTGGTTTCAAGACTGGACACCTAGATGAGTCCTGAGGCCAGTTATGGGGATGGGGAGCATGGATGAAGAACAGGCTTATTTTGGGAAAGGAGGGGAGTAGATGTAGATAATTTTGAACATGTTGAGTTGGAAGTGCCAGTGCGACACCCAAGCAACTGCATCTAGTAAGTGTGTCGTTAGTGTAACCCTTGAAGTCAAGAGGTCTGGAGTGAAGATGTAAATTTAGAAACTGTCAGCTTATAGATGGAAAAAGATGAGCTCATTCAGCAAGCATGAGAAGGTAAGCTAGGTTCCAGGCCTGGAAGGGGAAGGAAAGAACAGAAATAAGAGTTCAACTCTGCGGCAGCAACTTGTTCTTAAGCAGGTATTTATTTCATAGCCTTCCTTTGAAAGCCACTGTGTACCAGCTTCAACACTGCCTCTAGTACTTCTCCTTCTTTCCTGCTTCCCCTTCTCCATGTTGCCAGGCTTCTCGCCATATGTTTACTCAGTTCACCACACGTCCTGCCTATGCTCTGCCTTCATCTAACTGTTCATTCATGCAGCCATTTACTGAGCAGTTGCCCTGTGCCAGGCACTGTACTCAGTCCTGACCCTATGGCAGTGACTGAAACAACCTCCTTGCCTCAATACATTTACACACAAATAATTAAATAAGTATATTGGGGAGAGATGAATGCTTTAAAGAAAATCATTCTTCAAGAATAAGGGTGAGGCAGGATAGTAGCCTACGGAAGTTCCCCCTCCCCTCCAGGGGCAGCTCTGGAATTTTTCCTTAGTCCTTTACTTAGCCCTCTCCTTGCTTTGATTCTGAGGAGACAAGGCACAAGGCTGGGAGGGAGTGGGGGGGAAATAGGATAAATGGCCTTGGGCTGCCCTTCCCTTCCAGGTGGCGTGAGAAACAAGCCAAGACCCAATGGCAAGATGGATAGTCTTGGGACACCCAAGGAAACAAAAGCCTGTAATTCAGACAGCTCAGGGCAGACTCCCTCTCTCTGAACTGCCTGCACTCTCTCTTAAGTGTGTATTTTTCCTTTAATAAAACTTGCATTTGTTGCTTATCATGTTTTTTAATTCTTTCTCATGGCATAAGACAGGAACCTGGTCACCAAGCTCCAGGGAAAGGTCCCTCTTTGGACTCCGGCCCCATGGAGTCTCTGACATCAAGGGCATGCAGAGTGATGCAAGTGTTCTTATTTTAAATAGGACAGTAAGTGAAGTCATCTCTGGAGGTGACATTTGAGCAGAGATCTGAATGAATTGTGAGAGCTCTGAGTAAAGAAGGGGTGGGTGGAACAGAATGGGGAAGCAAGGTAACCAAGGGCTATCATACATATTTTCATAGGACAAAATAAAGAGTCTGGCTTTTACTCTGTGTGACATGTGGTCATTGGGGAGAGAAGTATTGAGTAGAGGAGGGATATGACCTGACTTAGATTTTAACAAGATTGCCCTGGCTGCTGTGTTAAGAATAAACTTCTAGGGGCAAAGGTAGAAGTAGAGGGACCTTTTAGGAGGCCATTGCAATAATCTTGGCCAGAATAATGGTAGCATATTATAGAGAAGTAGGCGTGGAGTTGGTGAGAAGTAGTCAGATTTAGCTGGTCAGGTGGAACAGACAGGATCTGCAGTCAGAACAGAAGTGGGAGTGAGATAGAAGTTAAGGATGACTCCAAGGATAAGCAGTTGAGTAAACGGTACTAGTTACCACTGTCAACCTTAAAAAAGCTAGTTATTTTACCAGCAAAAAATGAGTTTATCCAGGAATGGCAGAGAAATTGCAGTCAGGACATGCAAACTATGGTGAACCACAGGCAAACCTGGAGAACAAAAAAAGGACACATTATTTTATAGAGAAAAAGGAGGAAGTCGGGAGGGGGCAGTTAAAAGCAAAAGTCCATTGGAAGAGAGCGAAAGTTCAGAGTCGGGGTGGCTTCTCATTGGCTGGACTGTTGCTGCCCAAAGAGAAAATCTTCTTTCTTCTTCTTGCAGTAAAGTAAGCTTCTTCCTCCCCAAATTTGTAAGGTAAGCTGTGATGGATGGTACCTTCCTGAGAGCTCTACCTTTAGGGTTTCTCCACTCCACTTTGAATGAGGTTTTCCTTTGTTCATTTTCACACCTCAGTGGAGAAAGGTTAGGTTTAGAGAGGAAATCAGGATTGAGGCTTTGGATATACGAAGTTGCCAATTAGACATCCAACTAGAGAGGTTGAGGAGGCTATTGTTTATACCAATCCAAAGTTCACAGAACTAATCAAAACTGCAAAACTCAGGATCGGTCTACGCACGATGGCATCGAGCCTGAATGGGACCATCTGAAAGTGTTGGACAGAGTCCCAGCACGAGCGGGGGAGGGAGGGGAGCGGTCAAGTGGTGGATCCTGCAAGCGGACGATGAGAGATCCATAAGGGGAAAGGACCGGATCTTAAAGAAACTCGTCAGGAGTTTGGGGGCGGGTGGGCAACCTTCGAGCAGAGGGATCCGCATTTGCGAAGACAGGACTCAGCACAAGACACAACGGGCCCGGAAATGGTGGAGGCCACAGCTGAGGTTGAGAGCCGCACGCACCTACAGTGTCCTGGCGTCACGAGGCACTTTGCCTCGCCCCCAAATTCCTCTCTGCCGGCCCAAGCGAGCCCGCGCTAGACCTGGCTACACCCGTCCAAGCGGCGTTGCCAGGACCAGGGTCCGCCGAGAGGTGCGGAGCCACCCGCAGCCGGCCGAGTCTCGCGAGAGCCCGGCCTCGCTGGCCCAGC